GCCATTCAGTTGAATGCTATCTCATATTATAGAAAAATCAAAATAATTTTCCACTTGTTCAAAAATAATTTGATACAAAAAGAAATGGAAACTAATACAGTTGAATCATAAACTCTTTAAATATTTTTATCAGTGGGGATTCTCTATTGCTGTGTATATATCATTAGTGTTATACCACTAACAAAGTAAAGCTAAGGTAATCTTTCAGGTGATATAAAACTCACAAGCAGTTTCCAAGGGAAAAGAGTGATCCTTTGAGGACATATCAGTCATCCAAAAAAAAACATTTTCCAGGTTGGGTGAGGTGGTGGAACCTGTTGCTTCCAGCACATGCAGTGATTGCTCACAGCCACTGTACGCAATCATAAGAGCTTATATAGCTATTTGATATTATTACAGTGCAGAATATCCCCAAGGACCTTATCCTATTCCCAACTAAATATTTTTTTTTAAGTATTACAAGCTTGGGAATTCATTTTGGTCTCATGGCTTAAAGAGGCTCCCAGCTCTGGGCTTTGGGAACTCTCTTTTCAGAAAGCATGTACAGTCTGACAGACCATAAGGTTTGTGGTCCTAAAGGGATCTGCACAAATTTTCCTTTGATTACTGGACTTGTCTTCCCCTGTTACCCTTTTCCAGTCTCCACATGGAGCAAAAACTTCGATAGCTTCTCATGTGGGTATAACAATAGACATGGGAAATGGTTTGCTGTACAGAAATAACATACTGAAGTTGTTCCCTAGGAAAACCAGCATGTCTTGGCAACAGTTGTCCTGGCAACTAAGTCTCCTGGCAGAGGGCGGTGGCCACCGATCTGTGGAAACAGATCCGTGAGTCATTTTTTCCCAGAGGCCTGAGTGGACAGGGAATAGAATGGGAAAGCTCTCACCATTTGGTTTTCCCCCACCCCTTGCATTGACAGGAAACTCTCACCAGTCAAAGAGGTTATTTGAATGGCTATGGAATTCTGCCTCTTGAACACAGTTACAGGATGTACTAATTATGAGGCATATTAATGGACAGCATAATTTCAAACATCATTTCTCTTTCTTTTTTTTCCCTTTGTAATCTATCATGTTAGGAACTGTCTTAACTCTCTATCACTGGAAGAGAGAGTGGTACTGGAAGTACCACTCTCTACTTACCTCTCTTAACTCTCTGCACTGGAAAAATCACAGCAGAATATGTCAGCACAGCCATAACAGTACTAAACAGAGCACAGACAGAAATGACAAAGGACATTTTTTCTAAGTAGCTTTTCAGAAGACTGTGAAAGCTTTGGAGGTCTGTATAGCTTTTGATTTAAAATTTGGAGTGTGGCACAGGTGCCCATCAGGGCTAGCAGAAAGATTGTGCTGCACTTGTAACTGCACAGGCCAGACCTGAGCCTAAATGAAGGCTCAGGAGCTCACATGGTGATCCTTGGCCTCAGACAGCGCGGACGTGTTCAGCAATCCCTGATTGCCTATCATGACTTGATTGCTCTTTCTGCTGAAGTGGCCTCACTGCAAGTTGTTCTGACTTTGGGACAAAGCACATGCTCTGTCCATTGCTGCACCTGCTCTAAGGCATTTATTTACCTGGCACTCGAGGGCTCAAATGGACAATGCAGGAACGCCTCCATCCCAGCACCATTCGCACACACACTGGGTGTAAGGGCACAGCACACAAAGTGTCCCTCCCGAGCAGAGCACACTGTTCCCTCTTCCCAGGCACTCCCAACTCTGAGAGGCCTGAGCACAATTTGCTTCAACACCTCCTGGAAGTGTCTGAAGCATCCAAGAGGATAAGCCTCACTTGGGCACAGCCAGGGGCTCTCCTGCTGGGACAGGGCTGCAGGGACAGCAAATCTCCCTCACAGGGAGAACAAGCAGTCCTTTGGCCACAGAGTTTTCTGGTACCCAAGAAATCCTGTTCCCCAGGAAAAGCAGTGACACAGAAAAAAGCCATTTTATTTTCATGGGCTTGGCATCCCTTAGCTGTCCCTTTCAAAGCACAAGTGTGACTGGAACCTCAGGGTGACTGAAAGACCAGTAAGGGGCTGAGTGGGGAGCAGAAACTTCTGAAATGGATCAGTTGGAAGAAATGAGAAGCACCTGAATCCATGCCAGCTCGGAAGGGTCAGTGTGAGGATGAATAGGGCTACAACAGGATGTCGTAGTCCAGAAACAGCAACACTTCCAGCAGATGCTCAGAAACTGATCTAAAAGAAACATTTATGTTTCAGAAAACATGACTTGGCAACAAAATTATTTCCTCTTGAAATATTTCTCAAGGTTTATTCTACTTCTTTAATCTGAATTATGCTAATCCATGCATATGATAACTCTATTTAGCCATGAATATTTGGGCACATACATTTTTATAGAGGAGGAATGCAAAAGAGTTTATTAGATGATAGCACAACCATTGGGTGAATTCAATATTTGCACAAGCAGCAGAGAAATGTTTTTCATCAGTTTACGCTTCTCCTTCCATTACCTGCACAGTAAACTCAAATACAATAAATGTTTCAGGATGCTATTAGACAGGTGGACTCCCAGAGATTTTCAAGGAGATGGAAAAAGGCACCTCAAGCAGTAAATCAAACGTCTTGAAAATTGCATAGTAAACACTTGGAGACATATAAAATCCCACTTCTAACCTAAAAGAGTAAACAACTTGAAAAAATGGTCTCAGACATAAAAATTGTGAGCTGACTACAAATGATCTGCAAATACATTGAAGGCCTATATTTGTTCAAATACATTATTCATAAGAAATAATTTGAGTTGTAGTTATATGCAATTTATGTTGCATAAACTTTAGCAAATACTTGTAACCAAAAGCTGATTTAAAGAATTAATGAGCAATCTCTAAATAAAATTCTATTACTAAATAAATTCTTCCTTGATTTGCAAAGCCATATGCTTCCTTTAGCATATGCATTAATAACCATATCTATTAAGAGCTCAGGCCTGGAATGATGTGACAGAGATTGAGAGCTTATATCTGATCGAGCTCTTACTAAGCAGGACTGGTGTGAGGTAAACAAGAGGAGAAAACACTGCTTTTGAAATGTTCTTAAAGTATTTAGGGTTCAACAGCAACAAAGCCAACTGAATTTTTGTGCTAAACAGCTATGTTTCTGTCTAGGATCAACATATCCGAATTTTTAGTGATAAAATAAAGAGAAAGGGGAATGTAACTTTTCTCCTCTACTAGAACAGTTCCACTGTCCATTGCTGCACTCCTTTGGACACAGAATTTGCCAGTGCACGTTTCAGGCTGAGAGGCACTGCAGTACAGTGTGGTAGAGTTTGAATTGCTGTACCAGTGCTTGCTATAGAACAGCACAAGGGGTGGCTTGGTTTACATTTTCTGCAGTAACTCCATACTCTTCTGTACTAACTCTGAACTAAAAATGTGCATTATGATGAAGCAATTCTGATATTATTATTCTGTAAATTTTCATATTTTATAGAAGCCTTAATAAATCAAATGCTTTTACACAGTTGGAGATAACAAGGAATGTCTACAAACTAACACCTCCTCCAATTATTACCCTCAAAAATTATTACTCAAGTTGATGAAAGAACTAGTCTGGCTTCCACAAATAGTTGTCTCTTAAATCTGAATTTAATAAAAGTACTCAGGCTGCTTGACCAACAGTTGAGACACTGCAAAGCTTACCTCTGACAGGGATAATGCTGAACTAGAAAAAAAAATTGAACACTCATCCTCTTTATCTCAAGACCGTTCTGAATAGTTTTGGAGTAGTTTCCTAGCTGAGTCATGGGGCAGAGGCTGTTGTGCAGACTGACCTCCCTTACAGAAATGCTCCAAGCCTTTGTTGCTTCCCTGCAATGCATCCATAGGATGTCACACAGTGGATGGACAGGAATGCCCAAAAAACTTTTTCTCTCCAGTGCCTCCTCTGGATCTGACTCTTTTGAACTCAAGCACAACAGAGACAAAATTTTTGAATTTTTTATAATTGTCACGCAGTTTCCTCACATTATAGACAACCAAAACAAACTCTTAAAAATGTGTTTGTTTTTAACCCACTCCCTCCTGGTCTGGCTAGTTTATGGAACCAACCAAACAGCTAGCTGTTGTCATTAGCCTTGACAGCATTGCTTCTCATTAGAAATCAAAGCTGTTCCATTTCTACAGTAGCTTTCCACAAAATGTGCCTTGGTATCTGAGAGATATTAGGGAATGAATCCTAACTGCTCTTAAAAGGTAGCTGCCAAAAATACAAAAGTCATGAAGATTTTTCAGACCCAGGACTTTGAAATGCTAGATCTTTCCAAAGAGAGTGAGCAAAAGATATCTTGATGTGATGGCAGAAATGCAAAAATGGGTTTGTTAACGTGTTCTGACAGCACTCCTGGAGTGTCCAGTGCCTCTCAGGCACATCCCATCTGACAGGAGCTGTGCAGCTCCAGTGCACTAAGAATGACTGTGTGACTGCAAGTCACTTCTCTTGGATAGTCTGAATAATCTTTAAAAGGCCACTGGTTTAAATACAATCTATAACACCAGCTGAAGTGTATAACAGAACAGGATCTTCTGGCACAGACTGCTTCTCTTAGGAATTGCTCCAAAAGCTGGGCAATAACTGAGTTTCTGGAGAGCCTTTCTGTTACAGCTCAAACATAGTTCTCATATTTTTGTAAAGTTTGGTGCCCCAAAGTTTTCAATGGCCTCAGTGAGGCTGTGAATTTTCAGAATTTTTGAAACCTACCACTTTTTTTTTTTTTTCAATGAAACATAATTTCAATATGTTACTTTAAATAGACAGAATTCTGAAAAATATTAAATATATCCCAAACAGCTTTCATGCATACAAGAGAAGAGCTAAAACCAATCATCATTTTTACACAACCTTTTCTAATCTTATTTTAGATAACCATAAGCTACATCACAGCTCTTCAGACATATGGGAATTGCCAAGCAAATGGCAGCTAACTAAGGTCATGGGAAGATTTACTGTCATTAATATCAACTTACAGTAAGAAAGAATGTTCTCTTCCTGTTAGTGAGTCACCAGACACAGTTTCTGTTTGTCTAAAAGTGATAAGAGCAGCATGCAAGAAAGTTAATTTTCACTGATGACAAAGTGAATGAAGGGAGACTCATGTAGCTGACAGACTTCAATGTGAAATCCAAACAGGAATACTAAAGTAGTGTATTTGTTACTGAGATGCAGTACAGCCATAATGAGGACATCATTCATGCAATATAATAAAAAATGTTACATGTGATATATTGACAATATATGAAGCAATGTGCATATTTATACCAAGTGACAGCCCAGGGACAGGTAGATTAGTGTCAGAAATTACCAGCAGGATCCATCTTTTCGTTTACACCTTTGCCCGCTGTTCTCTCTTTACCACTCCATTTCTATTGATCTCAGTTTGAATATTAGGATTTTAAGAAAGCTGAAGGATTTCTCCTGCCTGTATATCATCCATTTCAGGTGATGGTTATGCTGAACTGCTATTTATTCTATGGCACTACTCTCTGCTGACTTCCTTGGACAAGCAAGCAGCCCAGCAGCTTGGTAATTTTGCTTTTGATGTCTCAAGTCACCTTCAAAAATAACAGGTTTTAATAATTTTCCACTAGCACTCCTGCCTTTTGGGAACAGGGGGATGAAGAGGACCCAGAAACACAGTACATCTAAATTACTTTCAGCGCAGTAGAGCAGAGTGGTATCTTCTGGGAGCCTGCTGAGCAAGGCCACCTTATTTCCCTAAGTGACCCACGTGTGAGAACACTGCATACAAAGGCGTGGCTAATTCGCCAGTTTGCTTTGATGTCAGTGCAGCTGAGCACTGCCATTCCAAATGAGGAGTTTATAAATGGGTTTCCAGCTCTGTAGCTCTCTGAAAGATCTAGGAGGTTCAGGAACAAATGGGTCCTGGACCCAAATACCCTGTGTGATGGCTTTTGCATCAATGCAATCAACCCCCTCTTCTACTAAAATCCTGAAGAATTACTTCTGTCAGATCCCTGAGAAAGCTGCAGTAACTCTTGGAAATGTTATTTATTTTTTAAGAGGAATATCACATTTCTTGTACACAATAATTTTCTGTTGTTTATGCCATCAGTAATCACCACTGGGCATGCAATAGCTTGGCTGCATCCCTCAGCTGAGGGCAAAACAAAACCTGTCCAAATTGCCTGCAAACCAAGGCTCAATCAGACTCAGCTTTCAAAAGGCAGCTGCATGAGGGAGGCATCTAACAGAAGCTGCTCTACCTGTGCTTCATCAGTTCCTCCTGTCTAAACAAGGACTTTATCTCAGCCTGGAAAGAGGAAGTGGGCCTTTTCTTCCCTTTTTATCATATTTATTTACTTTACCTTGTCTGCCTACACTTTTTATGGGCCTTTTGCTTCCTTTAAGAAAAGGTTGACCCCTGCCACCCAGCTCCTCTAATGTCTGTGGCTGCTGCCCTTCTTGGTCCACACAGTCTGTGTTTTCTAAAAGCCTCAACTCTTCATGACCCAGTGAGTTAAATCAGAGAAGCTGAAGAGAAACAATGCAAATGAAGCAAATAATAAATCTCCCAACCTTGCAAACAGTTGCAGCTTCCTCTTAAAACTACTAGATGCAGATTTTAACCAATAAAAGGAAACTCTGGTCTTTTACAACAAATGTGAAGTATAATACTTGATACCTATGGATTTTAACTGGAATTCCAGAACTGAATATATGCAAGAAGTTCAGACATTTGCATTTAGATCTTGCTTGAGTAAGTTCCTATGATTGCAGAGTGGCCCTGTAAGTCTTCCTTTTGGCCTCAGTAAAATTATTTAAGTGCAAATGAGGCAGTTCTTTCTGTACAATTTTCCCAGGCAGATTTTGGAAAGTTACCTGATGGAAAGAGGTAAAATAGTGCTATGCAGTTGATTTCTTCTTTCATCACAGGATAATGTACACAGAAGTCATTTTCCACATGCACCAAACAACTGCACTGACCTAGATATACCAGAAATAAATAAATTACCACTTCAGAAGAAAATTCAGTCTATCTTCTGAAATAAAATCCACCCCTAATACTGCATTTATTAAGGGGGTTTCTGCAGTAAATAGCAGCTGCTATATGTCACTGTTTCGAATCACAGATTTTATTACCTTATTTCAGAATGTATTGAGTTTATTGGAAAATGTGAAGTGATGATATTCTATTTATAGCTGTGCCATGATGATGAAGTAGCACTACCATAAGGTATAATTATATGGTGAGTTAATACTGGCCTTATTAGAAGCACATCTTGACTTTACTCTCTATTACTAGCTAAGCTTGGAGGCTTTTCTGACTGGAAAATAGCTGCTGTTTTACCTTGGTCTGCCTGTCTGTTTTATCCTCCTTATCATTTCTGCTGTTCTCAAGGATTCTGCAAAGTGCAAACATTTATTTCCTTTTTCCTTACTTTTGCATAGAATGGCATTAGATGTTTTTGCCAGTGACATTTCCAAAGAGGAAAATAGGAAAACAAGGCCAAAAAAAAAATATTAATGAAATACCTGTCTTGAGAGGATAATGGCAGGATGAAGAGTTGGGTACAAGTGTGGAATATTCGAGAGGCATGTATTCCATCCTCCCCAGGTTTCTTACAGGGAAACCACAAGCACTAAAGCAAAGCCATACTGAGGTATGTAAAGCCATAACTGAGGCAGAACACATAATTATGAAAGACTTTTGGGAAGGGCTTAATGCAGTGACTGATTTGTGGTGCAGAAGGGCAAATCTGCCTCTTCTTCTGCCACTGAAGCCACAGTGGTACAGCATGAGACTACTTCTCTGTGACCAAATGTGGCTCCCTCATCTTTCCCATGGCCCCCTTCAACTGCCTGAACAGATGTGCCACCACCAATGTCCAAAAGCTGAGGCAGGGGTGACAAGTCTTGCTTGCTTGAATCAGAAAGTTTTAAATTTTTTTGCTTAACTAGCTTCAGTGGAGCTGTAAAGTGCAGTGCCTCAAGATTTGCTTTAAAGGCACTATTCTTCTAGCTTTCCTTCAGGCAGGGACATGGATTATATGACTTTTCACAACCCTTAGTAACCCCCTCTTCTACACTTTTTTCCCCACTGGTTTAATGCCTTAATAGTATTTTCTTGCAAGCAGTTTCATTTTGTGGGTACTCAATCTCTTATGACACACACATTTGCATTAGAGTTCTAGTTTTTCCTCAGCTTGGTAGTGGGAAACTTTCAGACCTTCTCTGAAGTTAAATTTCTTTCTTCTAGCCCTCTAAAAACACGAGATATCTGCAGAATTTAACAGAAATCAGAATAATGTTGTTTATTGATCCAGAAAGTTGTACATTGGCTGATTAGTTTCTTTTAGTTTTAACACAAGCATTTTTAATTGCCCTAATCATGAGCAGAAATCCTTTACCCGTAGGTCATTATGAGCATGCTTGGTAAGGATATTGCCTGAGCATTCCCAGATAGCTAATGAATTGTTAGTTACAATTTAGACTGAAAAAGTCATTCTTATGTCTATAGAATTTCCCTTATTTTGGCCTTTAATTTCTTCCTGGCTTGTATTCTGAAAAAAATAAAAAAAATAAAAAAAAAGAATTGAAATGCTTTTGATCCTTCCCATTTTGGTGTAAAATATTGAGCTGGGCTATACATCTTACACTGTGTTTGCCTTAGAGAAAGCTATGAAGAATTCCTGAAAAACCTTCTGAAACAGCAACACTAGTAACAGATTTAATTCAGTACGAGACCAGAGTGCGTTTGAACATGGTGATCTAGAACTGAAAGAAACATGGAAGAATAATTACCTGTGGAATATTCCACCCCCATTTAACGTGTTTCTCATGTTCATCCAGTCTTTTACCACAGAATCACATGAAAGCAGAAGATTTTATAAACCTTCAGATCAACTATGCTCACAAGCATTCATTCCATGCTTGGCTGGTTGAAGAATATTTGAAGAATATATTAAATATTTGAATGAAGAATAGTTGAACCCAGTTACCAGCAAGACAAACCGTAGGAAAGCCACTTTACTGTACCTGGATCCATTTTGACCCCCATTTCCTTTCTATTTCTACTGTCTTTGCCTGGCTTTGCATTCTGAGCAGGACCACAGCATGGAACATGTTTGCAGTGCTGGAGCTGTCACTTGCTCCTGGGACTGAAGTGCTCAATTCTGGGTGCAGCAGCACTGCTCAGTCTGGCCTGCAAGGGTTAATGACTGAATTACTGTAAGAGCTGCTGGCTCTCTTTAGCTGCCCATGCTCCGTAAGGTAACTATATTACATCAAAGTGGGTTGATCACCTCTTTTTTTTTTTTTAAATTTCTGCTTTTTAATACATAAAGTGAGTGCTCCTGGGCAGCTCTTAAATAATACCTTTAAAAAGAGCCCTTAAAAACAGGCATTAATTGTAAAAATTGCCTAAAATTCAGGAACCCAAATTAGCAAGCTAAAGCTCCATCATCTCAGTGTCCACATGACACTGAAAGCCCTGGTATGAAAGTAACTAACTGATAATTTTGGGAATATTTCTGCTAAGCCATTAAAGTCCCTCCGAAAGCAAAATTCAGCCCTTACAATCCTGTCTCAACAGCCCTTTTTGCTGTTTTACTCGTTAGCTATAGGTGATGCCCAATTGCATCTGAGCTCACAGTTCCTCTGGATTCACTGAGTTTGTTCAAACAGAACTGCACTAAAATCCAATTTCTAAGCTTATGACTTTGTAATTAGCAGCCAAAACCCATACAGACTGGATCTCTCAAATATAGATTCATTTTCATGACTGTGAAAAGAGGTAGATATGCATAGGTAAGCTGCTTTGTGTGAATGACTCCAATGTATGGCAATAACAGAATTTTAACATTTCAATAAGATAGTGAACATTAACATATCCTCTGTAAATCAGGAGACCAGAAATATTAATGGCTTCAGATATGCTTAATGGGTGCCACTTATTCTGTTAAATTTAACATTATTACACTAGGTATGCCATCAGAATTTCATCTGTATAAATGCAGATTCTGAATTTAAAAAAAACCAAACCTTTTTTGAATGCAGCTCCATCAAAAGAAGACAAAATGAAAATCAGAGGCAGAGAGTGCACTCAGTTATTTGCTCCGTGATTTTTGATGCTTTGAGAAATTTCAAGCAGAAATAATTTTGGAGTTCAACCTCCCATTAGCACTTACTTAGCACTTAGTAGAATGATCTCAAATTCCTCCCACATGTCACTTATTCTAAGTACATTTAACTGATTAATCTAAACAATCTAATGTTTTTTCATGGTAAATAAACACATCGTACAAACAAAGGAACAGCAGCTGATAACTAATTAACTGATATGTCTAATTCATGGCATAATAGAAACCAAATGTATATCATAATCAGGCTTCCGGAGTATTTTTTAATACCAGCAGCAATGCTTGTGAAAATTCTGCCCACACACATTCTACATTTAGGAGGGATCCAAAGTATAATGAAAGCAAGGAAAATATTTCTGTGGAATGTAAGAACTCTGGCTCATGCCTCTGTCAGAGTCAATTTGCATGATGTTGAACTTAGCAGTAAATGCAAAATCTGAAATATATTCTCCTCAAGCTCATGGTCTTCAGATCCCATCTGGATTTCCCAGCATTTTTTCATACATTTTTTCCCAGCTGTCATTTTAGCATCTGTCGTATAAAGCAGATATTTAATTATGGGCTGCTGTGGAAGACATTTAACAGAGATATCCCTGCCTACAGCAGAGTAGTGAAAGAATTAATGATGCTTCTTTTCAGTTTCATACACCATTTTTCCCTGATCAAAATATCAGGTTTTATGATTTCACTAATTGATAGCCCAGTACTCAAAAATTTCAGAGCCATCAGAGCTAAATAATCAAAATATTATTAGGGCTTTATAAGGCTGTCTACCACAACTAGTCATTAGAGGACTTCAGCTGTGTCTTCTAACTATTTTCACATACATCTAAATTGCAATGATTTAGTCCTTGAACCCTGATTAACAAAAGCAGGGTGTGCCAAGTTACTAACTCTGTTTCAGTAATAATGAGGCCTAAGAGAAAGGCTTTGAAAAATGACGCAGAAGCTGATTTTTCTTAACACAGTTTAAAAGCAATAAAAATCTTGGCAGTATATGAAGCCACAGCCAGTTAAGCACTGAAAAATCAGGTCTTATGCTGTTTATCAGAGGAGAAAATTGACCCCAAGTAATTCCTGTGACCTCAGGAGAGGCTGTGCTTTACAGGTTGCCCTCATACATCTGGTTACAGAGAATCTAAACACAGGAGTTTCTACCTTCTAAAGCCCAAATTTATTTTTAACATGTATGTTAGTATTAGGTGTAGATTAGATCTTAACCTCCTTCTATTTCTTCCTTATATTAGTGTCATGTCTGATTTGGGTTTAAAATCATCTTCACACCAGGGATCATATTTTCAGGGAAACCTGAAGAGTTTCTGATTCTGCTTTAACATGCTCAAGAGTAGGTTAGCATACTAATAAAAATGGCTCTGGGTTTACCTCCTCTGTTATGCCACTTGTAATTTAAAGAAACACTACGGAGGCTCAAGTTTAAAGATATGTACTTTGTCCTCTAAGTAGATACAACACCACCACAATGACCAGGTTGAATTTTAGTACTTGGGATTTTTAGCAGGCTAGAAGACAGTAAAGATTGGGCAGCCAACTTTACATTAGTCAGAAATGGTTCTCAAATAAAAATCTGCAAAGAAGGCTGTTTATGATCATGAGATCAGAAATATGCCAGAAACGTGTTTTTCTATTTATGTATTCTTGAGCAAAAGGTTTAAACAGATTTATGGCACTACATAATTTAAATAGCAATCATTTGGATCCACTTAAGAAGTTAGAGCCATGAATAAAGATAAAATAAATAATTGCATATCCAAATATATCTCTTCTCCTTTAAAGCAGCCCATCCCATGTCTTCATCGGTACACAAACATTGGGCTGCTTGGAAGT